TATAACCAATGATTCTTCTTTATCGAACAACAATCAGAGTTTTTTTACAGAGTGTTTCTCCAGTCGTCCTCAGAACACGTGCATTGAACTAAAACTCAGGGTGGGAGTAGGGTGGAGTGCTAAAAGGGGGTGGGGTGGATGCTGATATATAATTAGATTGAGAGAGAATTTGGAGGTACGGACGGAAAATTCAAAGCACTGCAGGCATGTACTTAAGAATATTTATCTAATTTTGTGAATTCATAAATATATTACTTTGTCATATTATAGAATTATAAGGTAAAATGTAAGTCATGGTTCGTCAAATGGAAAAATCAAACTATCTCAGTCTACAGCCAGTATACATCCTTATAACTTGTTGTTTCGCAAAGACGTGTCAATATACCACAGTATTGATCCCCTGTAGATTCTAGCTGACATCTGTTTCAATCCTACTCAATTTGGGGAAAACTGTCTTACATGTAGGTCGGTTACTTTATTTCCTCGTGAGTGAATTAATCTTACTTGACTTTAAATTATCATATATTGATTATTTCTTATTGATTTTTTTATTCACAAAAAAAAAAACCAAAAAAACATTGTACTTTAAGGCCAGGTCGGTTGCCCTTTTAGAGCGTTGTCACTTTGGTCAGTAGACCTTTGCACATGTCCAGAAATTCCGAAAAATGTGTACAATGTGACAAAAACAGATAAGTAACATTATGCTCAAACCAAAATTACATTTTCTATGACAGTTCCTGAATGATTACACTCATTTTTACAGGGTTGATAACCCAACTCGACGATCAAAAAGTTATTGCATGCCTTTCTCAAAATCAGATAATGATTTGTTTTTATTAGCTTAAAGTTGATAAAGCTAAATAAACATAACATTTTGGTGAAGAACATTTTTATTCATTTAAATATGAATTCAACATGTCAAATTAAATACCAATTATAAGTTTTTGACTCTTTTTGTCGATTTGTCGGTTTATTCACAAATCATCTCAAATACAATGTTTTATGTTCAACTTACCTTTTACGCCAGGGTTTTGACTTAATTAAAGAAAACATCTTACAAAACATTTTAAAGGGGTAGTTTCGCCATTTGTTTGACCAATCGTACCTCAGAAACGGGATTGTTTTTAGCTAAGCTAATCACTACTAGTACTCTCAGCTCACCGTCGAAATTTGAGTCTTCGAATGCATGTGTTTACAGAATTATCAGCGTTAGTAAGTTAAAAAGACAACTCTTTGTTTAAACTCTGTCATATATAGAAAGGACATACATACAATCAGAAAGAATTAGACGATTTTGGTACATTTCTAATATTTCTGAAGACTATATACATTATTCGATTCCCAAATCAACCTCCTTTCAGTCTCTTCTCGTCAAAGCAGAGTTTTATTAAAAGGTTTTGTCTGGTTACACTCCGTTTCATTTTTGCAACCCTAAATTTGTTACTCATCATCCGGTATTATCATTCAGAGGGAATCATTTCTCATTCACGCCCATTAAATATAGACACTGTACGTATGCGATTCATTCTTGTGAAATACTAACTGTCTTTAACTGACCTTTTCAATCTGGTAAAAGACAGTAAAAGGTTTCTGGTGCAAAACTCAATTCTAGATAATTGTTGATGAACAGTACTTGTATTAACCTTCAGCTTATCACCGGGCGAGGCGTCGTCACTTTCTAACCAGATAAACCACAATTCAAATAAAACAGACAGACAGTGTGAAACAAACATGGTATTGTATTAGTTAGTGCAGGTGAACCAGGAATTATCAGAAAGTTGAAGAACTGTTTGTTTTCTTCTGATAAATTTAGTCAACTATTTAATTAAAACATAGAAGAACAAATTAATGTGACGTAAAAACTGTCACTACGCCCATCAGAGGGGAATATCAACTAAACGTAAATCACAAAATTGGATTATATCGCTATTTTAGGCATTGTAGATCTAGAACGAAGTGAGATGTACGGCACGATGTCAACGGAAAAGTACATAAAGGTTGATAAAGATGGACAATGCCGTACAGTGTACAATGGAGTACTCTTCGTCTGTCGACGGATCTTAAGAGTAACTAACTGGGATATGTTTCAACCAGAATAGTGTGTTGACGGAGGTGTAGAATAGAAAGCCTCGAAGCTCTTTCCACTGTTCCACATAATGTACTCTCACAGTTCGAACGATAGTCATGGAGGTCAGCTTTCCAGCCAGTTTTGTAATCCCCAATTCCCATTCGGGCTACGTTTGGCCTTACAATCATGCAGGTGCGCGGTTTAGGATATCGGGAAATTGGTCGATATTAGTTATTTCAGGTTTCTTAGTGTACTGAAGGTACATATGTATATCATCTTTTAGGCGTTTGTTAATATTACATGACATTAAACACTAAGTTTTTTTTATTCAATTTCTACACTGATATTTTGTGAAAAACAAGATTTGAGAAATGTGTTTTAAATTGAAATTCGAGTAATAGTAAAAAAAGAAACAATGAAATTAGATACCAATGAACTTAATCGGCATAGAAAAAAACTTAATTCGGTTGTAGACATACCATGGGTTTATAAAAGGCACTAAATTGGTGAAAATAATGGCTTGGCCAGCCCTACAAGCTTGTATGGCTGCCAGTTATACTTTCAGAATGAAATGACGTCTGGATTGTGTTCAATAGACAGATAGTTTTCATGTTTCATTTTCATGATATACTAAGTTTTGATTCTGTTCGTTGTTTGCCATGATTACTTGATACTCTTCTTTTTCCGGAAGCAAACTATTTGACAAGCTACACATGATCTGCTCAACCTGACCATAGCAAACTGTCATTGTACCCGGCTGATCTGATGTTAATGAAACATTCATCACATTCGTGTAAAAATCACTTCAACTCTAGAAAGTGATAAAAAATAAAGCGATATACTAGTCTTGCAACTGTTTTTCGTCAAAAAACTGAAAATACATGGATTTTTTTCTTTTTAAAAAACTTGGTTGATATTTATAAATAAAATATATTAATGTTTATTATTCAATACATATCCCACCTATTTCTTACACACCATGGGGTTAACTAGCCAAATTATACACCACATTAAAGAGGGAAACGAGTTATTAGATACTGTTCTAGGGCAAAAAAACCCTCAACATGTGGAATGAAATAATACCCACTCAACATGTTATTTTGTGATTTAAATCTTTAAATAATTTCAATATGTGAACTGCACTCGTTTTTATCAACCATTATTTGTATTTATGATCTGTCCAGGGATTGCATTATGAGGCGCGGGTCACAGTCAGTGAAATGGAAAAAAGTTTTACGCCCTACTTTTCTTGCCTGATGAAGACTGTTATTGATGTACGATTAGTGGATCATATTCCTTTGTTTGAGATTATCAACGTATACATTTTCCACGTGTTTTCACAAGATATACTGTATGTCAGTAACCAAGCGATTCAGAATCACACGGCAAAATAAGTAATATTTTTAAAAGTAATTACACAAAAATCATGAATGAAAACTGATATTTTTGTAAATTGAAGGTAAATCCCATGGTGTTAATTTAGTCACGTTTTTGATTTGATTGTACGCCATTAATTTGTTATCTTAGTCCTTGACAAGGAGTATAATATCACAGGTAGACAATGGTGTAATAACATAATTGTCGTATTACACAATTATAAATTTTAGATCAATATTATACGTAAACCATCAAATAAATCCGACTCATCAGCGTTTCAATCAATCATTAGGTCGAGGGGTCAACATGGGGCCACAGAATTATCACGGGGGTTACAGCACTAGGCATTTAAGAACCTAATGATAATCAATTTTAAACTAGGGGACAATATCAACGCTACAGCAACTCGTCGTAGTCCCTATCATCAGTAGGCTATATTTACTATCAAGTCTCTTTGGCATCCAGATTGCTTCCGTTTTGCTAACCTCTTTAAACTAGGATGATATATGATTATTTCAAAACCACACACATCGATTTAATCTAAAAACTGCATTATCTGGTGTTAAAATTTGACAGTGGACAACAAATGTGTAAGTTGAAATGTATAAGATAAACATGCCTTTCAATGGAAATTTATTCCTGTTTTATAGCCAATTCACTGATATTGAAACAATACCATTATTGTAGGCTGAAAACAGACTCAAATAATACAGATATATCATGTTTTTTTTACCCGTTATCATTAGTTTGAATCAGTTTTATGGATTGTTTTTGGTTTATTTTCGGTGGGTATGAGACAGGGTTATCTATTGCATGTACCATTAAATCTATTGCATGAGGTCGACGAAATAAATCAACTTTTCTCACAACTCTTTGAGAATGATAGAGGCAGTCTGTGAGGCATGGTAACATCCGCCAGTAGGCTATAGATAAGGTTTCTGTAAAGCAGATAATAGACAGTAGTGTACTGCACTGGTGTTATTTATGTTGTATAGAACAAGGGCAGTAACTCATATTTATTTTTCAATGATAGCGTGAGCCCGTGTATTATAACCAAGTTTAATCACGTTGATTAGATTGCTATATCAAGAGCATTAGCTATCAATTAAACATTCGGCAATCCTCGGCAGTGTCCGTAAAGCCGATGTTGCAGAGCGCTAGCGTAACTTTAACGCCGCTGGCCGTTGGTCAATTAACTTAAACAATTAGTTCGTAATATGGCAATGTCATCCATTCTGAATCACAAAAAATGTGACAGAAAATATACGTCCACATATTTTCTAGGGCGGAACAAACACAAACTATCTGATGTCTTTCTAACTCATAGCACGGAAAGATTTAATGTCTGATTTAAAGTCTTTTTAGAAAAAAAAAATCTGCTTGCTAGTTGAACAAAAATAACTTCCTTTTCTTCATTTTACTAGCCTAAATGAAACAAATCATTGATTATATGAAAGTATGCGGGAAAAAATATTTTCTTTTTCAGACTGATGGAATCCTAGAAATATGAGGTATCGGGAGTAAAAACACACATATATATATATACTTCTTAATAATGGCGAAGAACATCCAGTTTAGTATTATAGCGTTGGTGGCCGCACTGACCCTAATCTCTGCAGGTATGTGTGATTATTATCATGCTAAACTACACATTAGAAGATGTGAAATATTTCATTTTAGTGGAATCATTATAAAACTCATTTCTAACCAATTGTAATATCCACGAAAAACTTTAATTTGGCATCGTCATCATCATCATGATCATCGTCGGCATCATCACCATTATCGTCGTCATTATCATCGTCATCACCGTCATCGCCATCTTCATCATCATCATCATCATCATCATCATCATAGTCGTCGTCGTCGCTGCAGTCATCTAAAAGAACTTTTACTTAATCCTGGCCAATGTAGGAAGGCTCAATAAGTGGTTGAGCCTCTTTTAACATTTTCCAGAAAGGGAATCCATTAAAAGTCCTTGCTTAACAGTATAGGACACTGATAATTGAAAGTGAAAAGTTGTTTCCACTGACCCGCGTTGCGCACCCCCCGCCCCAATTTTTTTTTTATCATAATACTGATAATACATAGTGACAAAAAATTATCTGTGCGCCCCAAAACCCCACCCACTCCTGGAAAATTTATGGAACATTGCTCAGCGCCCTTCCCTATTGTCTCCTAGAAACGTTACTGAGTCCAATGCCCTTTTTGGATAAGTTCGAACACAATAAATCATACTCACCGCTGGTACCACCTTGTGGATGGGTTTGTCAACCTGCTACCATATTTGGAGAGTCCAAAGAGTTAATAATTTTTAGGTGATATATGTTTCGACTGTATTATAGATTTGGATTTCTATATTTCAGCTCCTCCGACATGTTCCAAGGAAAAAAAAATATTCGTGTCACATCCTAAATCCCTTCAAAAAGAAAATGGTGAAATTTATTGTTTTTATAAAGAAGGTCAACCAAAATCAGATGTTTGTGAACATCAATCACAAATAGTTTATACTTCAAACCAAAAACTAGAATATGTTGAATTACAAGAAACTTCCTTTCAGTCTTGTATTATATTAACTAGCTTAGACATACCGGTCCCGGAAATTTGTGTAAGTACTTTACATCAGCCTTATAATCAGGATCATCATGATACGCCCTAGATACAACCATAATTTACTCGAGACCCCAAATTTTCCAAAAAAACAACGATGATGCAACGACATTTAACTGAACGTTAACTGACTAAAGATCCTGTCACATATTGACGATTGGGCAAGCGTGTACTCAACATATGAAAAATTTGTCGTGGTATATCACAGTCGTTAGTAGTTTAAGATATCGAAACATTGATTACAGGTTAATGTCACGTTATATGCAAGTAATTCATTATGAATACGCTCTCTAAGTTAACGCTCAAAATTAAAGATAAAAATATCATTGTTTAGAGATTTTTTTAGCTCAGCTAATCAGTAATAGTGTTCACTGTTCGAAATTTGAGCCTTCAAACCCCTGAATTATCGGCGTTAGAAAGTTGACAAGACAACTTGACTTATATTCTAGCTTGTACGTCTGAAGACTATTTACATCTATTCAAGACGAACTATGGCCTTTTAGACATTTTGATACCCCGACATACGCTGGCTAAATAGTTATGGTGTGACAGGGTCTTAATATACAGTCAAGCTACGCATTTCTCGTAGTATACCCATCTTTTCAAAAGACACTTCTTCTTCCTGCAATAGGATAACCCATTACAAGATGTCAGTTGTTTTCTTCTTGTAGCTCAATTATACTGCCAAGGCCTCCGATGAGAACTCTGAAAATCCAGCAACCATCTGTGTGGTATTTAACCCTGAAGGACCAAATATTCCTCCAGACCAATCAACATTGATCAACATGGCAGATGGAAAAAAATCAAGAATTGTTCCTATAGAAATGTCGTCAACTGATGGGATATCAGACATCACCATTACAGGTAGTATTGTTACACCAACCAGTTTCTGCATTAAGTGTTCTCCATTACAAAATATATGATTTATTAATAATTGGTCCAGTGAAATGAATCTTTAAATAGATATTGACTGCGATCTGAAGTGACTGCTATTATACAAGGGGTGGATGAAAAGTGCATAGGCTGACTCGAAAGGAGTAATACCACCCCCACCCCCCTTTTCGTACAACATAGCATTGGAATTGACAACAATCTGGTAAAATACAATTCTGGATGTTTTGTTAAGCATTGACTTTTATTATTAATTAGCTGATTACCAAGTACCTTTTGTATAATATCAATATTTCAGATGTTTCACCAAAAGAGTTTACGAATTACATCCGTGTGAACTCTCTTGATCCAGAATCGCTAAACTTCACCATCACTGAAACCATTACTACCTCTACTGATATAGATGTATCTATGATGGTAAGTTTTGGTGTATTTTCGTACATAGTATCATATTATCACTTTGTGATTTGTTGATCGCAACATCATCTTAATCAACTGTCATGCTATTGTTCTGCTTCAAATGTCGAAGAATCGGAAGCTCTCTGCTAGACGCTGTGTAACATATTTTGTTATATAACAGTTTTTTATTTTGAGCTATGAGATTGATACTGTTAGTAAGAACAACATGTTTGGCATGATTTATTTACAAAATTGATTGGTCTGCAAGTATTTATTATCAATCCAATAATATCCATGTAATAAAGAAAAAATCTGATGTAATAGAGAAACTAGACAAATGCATGAATCCTATCTATCTATACCAAATCAAAATAGGCAAAACTGTCAAAAATACATTTTCACATATTTTTTTTGCTTTAGGTAACAGATAACGGTAATCCTAAATTAAAATCAATGGCTACCTTCAGGATGCACGTGATAAATGAGTCGATTACTTGTGATGACATGATATCGATTGTAAATCCTTCAGATTCTGTTGGTAAAAATGTCGGCAATGCGTCCTGTAGTTCTAAAACTGGAACATTGAACTTTACTATAACAGAAGGTAAGGTTTATCTGGAACTGATGGGTATTTTTCCTCTGTTCTGATCTGAAATTAGATAAAGTAATAACTCACGAGAGGTTAGATTTTACATACATGGGCTTTAGTTTGTTATAAACAAGGTTGGTATTTAAGTACTGGTTGCTTGACAAGGCAACAATCATTTTTTGTTTAAAGACATGGGTATCCAGCCTCAGTATACTTTGGGGACGCTGATTTTAAGCTCTACTGGCACTGTATCATTTTAATCATAGAAATTATCTGCCCTTGCGGTATGATTTCTTTGAAGGATTGAATAGTTTAAAGGGGTTGTAAAGAGTTTTTTTTAAAGATTTTGTGTATCACTGATAGGATCAAAAAAATATATGCGAGTAAATGAGTAAAAATTCAGAAAACAATAGATTCTGAATGTTAAACACATTTATCGATGATAAAAGGTTGCAGTCTAAAAAATGCCACTTAGCAAGAGCGTAGAATTATTCTATACTTGGCTCTGTGGGTATGCAAACGTGATTTTTAGTTTCCGATTTCAAAGGCGTCGTACTGGAGAGTGTCGTCCATATAAATGACCAGAGAAGAGACCATCAGACTTTTCCTCAATTATAAAGTAACTTTGTCATATTTGTTTGACCCCGCCCCTCCTTTCCTACTAAAAATCTATCATGCTGTTTTCTACCAATTTATTACAGGCGGTGTAAAGTTTGTACGAATGGATAGTGTCACCGGAAGTTTAACGTTAACGTTCACAAAACCTTCTGTTGGCGTATACAACTTAACAGTTACAGTCCAATCATCTTCTGCATTGACTATACAGTTTAAATTACAGATACAAGTCGGTAGGTGATGTTCCGAAATCTTTTGCTTTCTGTATGCCGTCTATGTTTGGCTCAACAGGATTGTAAAGTACACACATAACGTACAAACAAACCTCTTTACAATCTCTTTAACGATTGGGTGCGATCTTTACGGCAAGTTTGTTTGAAGACTAAAGGCCGGTTTTGCTGACAATCTTAGCACAACCAGATGATTGTCTTCCACTGAACGATATAAGATTCAAGGTATTAAAAATGTTACGACCCGCTAGGATAAAGATATGAACCATTGCCATTTTTCTGTTTATTTAGCAACTCATCGAGAAGATGGTCATTCACTTTTCCATGGAGTAAATTTTCAGGAAGATTTGTAATCGCCCGTTTCATTATAGGTTACCCACCAATATTTACCAACACACCGTATACCTTATCTGTTAACGATACCACAGGGCCTGGTGTATGCTTCAATGATATTATCTCTATTGATCCAACCACGCCAGAAAAGGTTATCTATAGAGATATAGATAATTCGGTTATATTTTATTTCCCCTACAGTAACAGTACCCTATGTACTAAAAAAGACTTGTTCTCTGAAAACCGGAAGGATTACAATGTAAGTCATCTTTTAACGGTAAAAATTGTTTTGATTTGAATTATTTTACGAACACAACCTTTAGCAAAGTCACAAGAATAGACTTAATTCGATGAAAGAATTTCGATCAAGGAAGTTCATAAAAATGGACAAAAATTTTGGTCTGCGATTACTTTTCTCTTGATACAGATAATTCACTGTGGATTTCACTTCTCACAACTTATTCCAGGTACTTTATAAATTTGATGGGTCTAACAAATTTGGGTCGTCGGAATCTGCAATAACGATTACAATAAAAGTTATAAAACAGATTCCTGTTATAACATTTAATACCAGCACAGAACTAGAGGTGTCAGAAATCACCGTTTTGAAAACAATCATTACAACTTTAACTATTCAGCCTCAAAGGCCAGTGACCGAGGTAAAGCTTACTGGTAAGTCAATTTGAATTGTTGTCATATTGTGACACGAGAAATTTAGTGAAATACGGCAAAAAAAGAAAGAAAAAAAAAAACCGTTGACTATCAGTAAAGATTTTCATGTCGCTTCTAGGAAACGACCATAATAGATACAATAAGTATTTATCTATTTCACCCATTAAGAATTTTGTTTATTTTATAATTTTGTAACAATATTTTGTAGACCAGGCGAACCTACCGTTTGCTTTACAAGTCGGCACACCATCTGGATATGAAATAATAGTAAAAGACGAACTGGATGCTAACAATACTTCTTTTTACTTGTTATCCATAAAGGTATTTGAATCCTTCATTGTTTTAAGTCTTCAATTGATTGACACTTTCACAAGGGGCACGTTCACAATCCTTGTGGTCAAGAGTACCTTAGTCCAATAAGAGGGATGGTTTAGCTAAGATGAACAGTACAGTTTTGTATTATGTATAGAGCATTTTATTGGCTAAATTGAATATTGGCCTACGTTTAAACGTCGTTAGATCAACATATGAATGAAGCAACTGACAAAAATATCAGCATATATCCAAAATATCTAGAGCTACCTTTGATTCTGATTGTAATATGATGAAATCTTGGATATATTGTAGGCAAGTAATGTAGATGGTATTTCCACAGCAACTGTCAATGTAACCATTATGGATAACGTAGCGCCGAGTTGTGAAAAGAATTTATTAGAACCAACTGTAAATCGTGGAGTGAACGAGGGTCATATTGTACCAGTTGAAAATCAATGTAGTGATGTTGATGGTGATGCCATAACTTTTAACTTTACTTCAGATACACCATCTTATATCACAGGTAATACTGTATTCAGAATTTAGTAGTACGATTCATGCATCTTTTAGTTCAAGAAACTGCTATGAGCAAATAGGTATACCCGAATATTTGATTCCTCAAATATACTTACACAGATTTGTTACCACGAAAAAACATGATACGCCGATATAGCCGTAAGGTCTGTTAAGGGATGGGGAGGGGGCTGCCTGGTTTACCCGAAATGTTTTTAGGGGCATCATCCTCAATATCCAGTAACGGCTGCAGAAATTTGAATGACTTGTGGGGGACATTGAAAATAAAGGGCGTAAATTCTGCAGCTAAATGTAATTTGAAACAGTAATCTTTCAATATTATTATGCAAATTTCCATAAAAAAAAAAGTATTCTTGGGCCTTTGGAAAGCCCCGTGGAATCGCCTCTCTCAAGATCCATATTCTCAGCACGTTAATTTCACCAATAACACATTTTAAAGAACGAATTTTGTGTCACTTTTGATGTCGCCTAAAATATTTATGTTATATTCTTTTTAGATCACTTTTCGATTGTTTCTAACGAATTCAGAATTACTGTTAAAAAACAACTAACTGATTTGAGTGTACAGGAATTGAAGAGTTTGAAGTTTACAGTAGATGTATCGGATAGTTTTAACTCTCAAGTACAGATTGAAGTGAATATATCGATATTTGGTAAGACTGTAAATTTTTGCTCTTTGGTTAAACTGTATAGTCCGTGTAGTTTATGGACGCAATGAAATAACGATGGGTTTGTGATGAAAAAAACTAGCATATACTTATAGATACTTATACAACGTTATCTTGCGGTGACAGAGACGCAGATCTCTTGAAGTGGAACTATTTGACAATCCAGATATTATACAAACAAAACATTTATAGGTATGAGAATTCCCAAAACAGATAACCAGTTTACAGATCTAGTCAAAGAGGAATCTGTAGCCTATATTTATTTTTATATCAGTTCTAGTCTTCCTGAAGAGTCATCTGAATACTCTTATGGGCAAATATAATACAATGATATCAAATAACTGTTTTTTTGATTTGTGTTTCATAATATATAGGTTATTCTCATTTCAGTTGATGCCCCCACTTGCGACACAAACCCTGCCATAACAGTACCAGAGACCCTGGGTGAAGGCTGTGTAAACATCAGTGCTTTTTGCAATGGTACAGATGGATTAAGACTTGAATATAGCATACCAAATTTTATTGCCACAACCCTAGAAAATGGTGATATTCAGATTTGTGGTGATACAGCCTTGGAAGTGGGTACCTCTCAGGTATGAACAGGTCCAACCCGTTTGCCAGTTTACTCATATACCGTGACCGATTTGGCAGCGAAAAAACTGTGTAATGATGATATAAGACAAACAGTTTAAGCTAAGTTAACTAATGATTTCCGGAAAATTCATTATGCCGTTTCTGACAGGCTATGAATTTGGTTTTTAAAAGTATTATAGAACCATAGGTATATATTTGCCATAAATTGTTTGTTCCATTTGGGCTATTATAAATGTTATTTTCTGTTGTAGATCAAGGTTGTGGTGGATGATGAATTCAACCGGCTAGAAAAATCAACAAATCTAACTATAACTGCAGTGAATAAACATCAACCAGTCTTTGCCAACGTAGGTGGTGAAACCACTATTGATTTGTCAGAAAACACGACTGTAGGATCGGAAGTTTTCACATTTACTGTTACTGATGAAGATGATGGAGAATTTGGGAAGTTTACAGTAACGGCAGTAATGGAAGGTTGTATAATTAAATGATATTCTCCGAATTCATGCTTATAATGCTCCAATTATTATAAACATATGAAAAACCAATGATAAAATCCTGAAAGTCGAGAATTTAAAAGTTTGTTTAGTTGGAAACCATCGACAGAAACACAATTTGATATGCATTGTTAAGCTTCATAGGCTATGTTCTTTTGCGAAAAGTTCCACGGAATTATGAATTAGTTTTCTTTGTTATATGTGCTCTCTCCTTGTTGTAAATGGCGTTCAAAACTTATACGTGTTTTGTTTATTTCAGATTTTGAATCGGGAATCTTTCAAGTGTCAGATAACAATATCATTCTACTGAAAAAATTGAATGCATCATCAACATCCGTATATACAATATTCCTAACAGTGAGTTGATTGATTTTATTCGACATGAGCAGAATCAACTTTAATCATCATAAGCAACAGCACTCAATGTGTCGGCGGCGGCAGCCTGCGCAAGCTAGTATTATCAATAAAAGTTTTCATTATAAACGACAGTTTTCTCATTCATGATCAACCACCAACAACAGCTATCATCATCAGTATCAGGAGAAAAGCACAAAAGTTCATAATCAGCATCATAAGCCTTTATCATCAGCAACTTCTATAGCAACCCTCATCATTGCATCAAACCTATCTTCCTTAACATCGTCATCAACAGCATCAGCATAAACGCAGTGGGAGTAGCGACAGTCAAAGCAGACTTTAAATCAGCAACGGTAGCAGCAGTTATCAGCAACAGTAGCAGCAACAGTAGTAGCAGCAGTAGTAGCGGGAGCAGAAGCAGCCTTTATCACCAACAGCAGTTGTTAATTTCATTCACAGTGACAGCATCTCTTCATCATTATCAACATAAGCAGAAGCAGCAGTAACAGCATTTGTCATCATCATTCTTTATACTCATGATTATACCTTCCGTATCATTGTTCTCATTATCATACTCGTCCAAGTCAACATCATTGCATTTTTGTTTTGTTAAAGGCAACAGATACTGGCGGATTAAATGCTAATTTAACTGTAGTGATAAATGTACAGGACGTAAATGAACCACCGGTCTGTATTCAACCAACAACATTCAATATATCAGTGCTGATGGATGAAGGTGAAGTTGGAAATCTGCCGTGTTATGATTATGATGTTAGTTCAGACTTTAAACAGATAAGCTACAATCTCATTCAGCCACAGTCTATGTCAGGTAACATCCATTTCAAAAACTATATCTATTGTTGCCGAAATGTATTTCATTTAGTTGACGCCTAAAGTTGCAATTCGTACTCAGTAGTGCTTCTTTTAACTACTGAATGCAATTAATCATTCTTGAATTCCATCATCTCTTTAAATTTGAAGCAGTCAAGAACATTATCACATTAATGGTGTCGGCAATAATGGTATCCACTGATAACAGTACCTTCAGTATTCATGTCTTTGTTTCGACATATATCAAACATTCTGTACACCACCTATTTATTCATCTTGCAAAAGTTTATTCATGGTAGCCTCAGAATTACTTCTCACGTGATGTCTGATGTTTAATCGATGTTCTGTAGTTTGACAGAAAGAACCCCAAATTACCATGGTATATATCCTTATCACTCTTGTTTCTAGTTCCGATGGAGGTAGACGACGAAGGAACATTAAAAGTGACGGGAAGTCTATTGGATAAACCTGAAACTCTGGAGTTTACTGTGGAAGCTTCAACTGGTGACCAAACCACGTCTATAAAAGTCACAGTATATCTTTCACGTATGTTTCCTTTCCTTTTGACTAAACTGATAACAAGTATGTCCAAACACTGAGAAAGAAGGCACGTGTCACAGTCATTGTGCATAAAATATTAGTTTTTGGAACGAGGACAGTTTCATATATGTTTCAGATGCGTAGAGATACAGCTTAAAGTGTCGGAGTTGTTCACAATACTGTCTGTTGTCTGACATTCTTCTTACCAAATATGCATAGTTTATTGTACATATTGTACACTGTATGGCGTTCCACATCTTCATTAAGACATAAAAATCAATTTCATTGCAGGTGACTTCCCACCATCGTGCAATGCCACATCCATCAGAACAACATTTAAAGAAGATTCATCAGGATGTAGTCAAGAGAAGATACGATGTTCAAACCAAGTATCCAGTCCAATGACCTTGGTTATCACCAATGATAAAACTGGGGATTTAGACGTTCAGATAACTAATGACACTGTGGAACAACTTGATATAAGAGTGTGTTTATCACAAAGTGGAAGGCAAAATTTATTTACTTATACGGTGAGGCTAAGTCTTTAGTTTAGCGATCAAATACTGGTTATTCTGAAACTTTTATAGCTGTGCGTCATTTATCCATCTCTTGCTTATCTATTGATATATTTCATTTTCTTGAAAGACAATGTTGATTTAAAAAAATATCGCCTTTTCCTATAATAGCTCACCTCAGACAATATAGCCAATCTTGGACAACCACGACAGCATTTTTTTGACTAATACAATCTATAGTTCGGACTCCAAAAGCAAAAGTGCATCGGAATTGAAGGATTTGCACGCCCTTCCACACATATAGCACCAAATACACCAACTGCAGAGAGAAATTTAGCTCAATGGGAACAATTGTCTTGGATGCTCTATGATGACTTCTTTCTTGTTGATGAGTCTTATTCTTGGCCATGTTTCTCATTACCATTTTCAGCATTTCAAAATGATTTAATTCCAGATCGGTATCAGAGTTGAGAATGAACTGGGTAAGGTAGACATTAACTGGGAAGTGAATATAGAAGACATTAATGACGCACCTTACTTCAAGGAAAATAGGTACACGTATCAATTAAATGAGACAACAAATAAACAGACTATGGTGGCTACGATCAGTGTCTTTAATGAACCCGATCCCACTGATCCTAATATCCAACTAGTTGATCCAGATACGCTAGACAAGTTTAATATCAAACATATTTCTGCTGACGGTTAGTGTGTATTTTCTTCCTAACATTATTGATTGGCATATACTTGGAAATTCAATAGTGGATTCATCAGTTAAGTTGATAAATAATATGTTTTTTATACGCCCATATGAAATGCGTCGGTCCGGCCGTCCATCAACAATTGCTCGTAAATACCTAGAACTCTTGGAGGATTTTGACAAAACTCAGTGTGAGTGTTTGTATTAATATTTATTGTCCATGTTCTTGAAAACTCGTTTATTTTTGGCATATATTGACAAGCTTGGCGAATTCTATTGAAATTTTTAAAAAAATATATTTTACATGAGTTGTTGCCTTTGTTTTTTGAAAATGCATTCAATTTTTAACTTGCCGGGTTTGTCCAGGCCTGAGTCTAAAGACATCGTGTTGAAGATAGAAGTAAGGATTCTGTCCACGGCTTGTGGTTTTGGTATATGTAACGCGTTGAAGTAAGGTTCTGAAACGTCCATTATTTACTTGTAGGAAAGGTGATGGATAGAGTAACTAAACAGGAAAAAGCGGGTGCTGTTCTAGCTATATCTTATGATGACAAATCCTTCACTGTAACGAGCAGTTTAAAACCTGAATTGTACTATCAATTTGATGTCCAGGTAAGGAGTAGCATATTCATGTTTGACCTTTACGATCTATGACAACCACATATCCTGACCGCGGCGTGCATCATCACCAATTTGAAAGTTTTATAGTACGTCTCGTGGCTCAAAGAGGAAGGTCAAACGCTTTATTGTTTCCTTGAAGGTGGTACAAACCAGGGTAATGAAAATGCATTAACACATTGTAATAAATATTCGTTATCATTATCAAGGCCAACAAGTGATCAAACATTGAAGCAAGTTTCTTAAGAGCATAAAATACCAAATAGAAACTCGGATAAAAAACGGTTGACAATCGTCTGGGTACCAAGTGTTTTACAAACGACGAACCTCGGAAAATTGCAGTAGTATATACTGTATTACAGCTGTAGTGCATCGAGAGGAACATTTACAAAATGTGAAAAATCGTCACTTTTGGTTCACCCAGCTGGTCTGATTTTAGATAACGTGATTAACAAAACTATATTCTTTTAGTTTACAGACAACTTGATTTAGTACTATGTTAAAGGGATTCTAATGATTTTTTTTTTTGAAATTTTTATCAGTATCAGTAATGGGGGACACTGATAGCTTCAATTTGCGGCATTCCAATTTTCAGTCAGACGTCTGTGGTTCCTGCAATTACAGTGTTTGATGACGTCATAAATCGCAAAATATGCGTTACCACATAAGGCCCTTCGCAATTGGTGACGTTATCAAACACGTGGTTTTAGTGGAATTGCAGGATTATGAAAACTGCATTTTTTAACAATACAACTTGATTTGGTACTATATCAACTTGTTTCAAATCTGTAGGCAGAAGACGGAGGTAAATTAACAGCATCATCCATCGTCACATTTATGGTGAATGACGTGAATCAGGCACCGACCTGTGATGAGACCAACCTTCAAAAGAACCTATCTTTGTTACAAGGTGTATCACAAATTTTTATATCTGTGGATTGTTCGGATACAGATTTTGATGAAAATTTCAATTCTTTGTCTTACTCTCTGCAAACCCAGACAACAGGTATTGTTACCTATTTTTTCTATTTTCTACGTGATCGTCCCATTCCAAAGGATTGACTTAAAGCGATTGTTAAGAGATTTTCTAAATCTGTTATGTGTATCGGGGACTGATAGCAATTTCCACCATTCCAATGTCCAATCAGACGTCTGTGGTTCCACTTTAACTAAGCGTTTTGTGACGTCACTAAAACTTCACCGTAAATTGGAATGGTGTCAATTGAAGATATCAGTGTCCCCGATAAACATAATTATTTATTTTTAAAACTTAAAAACATAAAATTTAGAAAATCTCTTTACAATCTCTTTAATTTGACTAAAGTGCTGTAGCGAGTGGGCTTGTATTAGGCGTGGCCCGTTCAAATCATGTTTATCATGAGACCGTATTCAACCATTCTGAATATGCACGAATTGAAATTTAAATATTGTAAGCAAGGCCAATAAATGAAATAAGATGGGGTTAGGTGGGTAAACGAAGATCATGTTTATGTATCGTTTAAAGTAATTATATCTGTATTTTAGATGTATTTGCCATCAGTGGCAATGGTAACATATATCTGAATAAAAAGTTACCCAGAGGCACCAGCCAACATATAATCAACATAATTGTAAAGGACGGTGGAGGTCTAACAACTTCTTCTACACTCACTGTTAATGTTAACAGTAAGTCAAATTTCGCTTTTACAACCTTTTTAATAAAGTTTAAGCATGCACCAATTTTCTTTGGTTTATTCAGACATATCTATATTATGGTTTAAAAAGGTTACCTTTTGTAGTTCTATTGAGGATCTTGTATCTGATATCATGATCGGAGGACATATAAATATATGATTGATGTTTTGTAGGAGATGTGGGTGCTGAATGTACGCCTGTGATTTCACCACCTAATGTCTGGTTGAAAGATGAATGTATTTCTATAGAGAGTAACTGTGTGGATCCAACAGCTGACGAAACTAGTACTTTATCTTACGAAACTACAGGCGACTATTCACCCGATTTCTATGTTTCTGATGGACTAGATGGTACCAATGGTAATCTAAAGTTATGTTACTCCAAAACAGAAAATGGCGATTATGAGGTAAAGGTTTTTGTGTGTCTGTTTAATAACACCACAGTTCTGAAGTCTATGTATGTTTACTGTCACGTTATCAAACCTTTAGTCTGTTTACAAATAATATGTTTGCTTCTATGGGCAAATAATATTTTCTTTCGTCGATAAATAAAAATATATTAAGGGGAGTTTTGTTGGTTAAGAAAGGATTAGAACCACAATTTAAGTACATGCTTATCCAATGAACCACAAACTGGACTTTTGTTGTTTGAGCACATGCCATTCGCACTTTTCTTTGTTTTGGTATCCACGATGTAATCTTGCTGTTGACTGACCAATTATATCTGATAAACTACGTCCGAGACCGTTTGGAG